CTTGTTTATTTATTTTTTGATTTTATTGACATACATCTCTTGACCTAACCCTAAATGTATTTTATAATTGCTTAAAGTATTATATAATTTTTTTTTTTTTTTTTTTTAACTTATTTAAATTTTCTATCTATCTTAAATTGTTATCCTATTGTAATTTTATCAAATTTTAAATTAATATTTGTACACATTTATTACATTTACAACCAACATGAAGCAATAAATATTATGACTATATAATATATTATATTATGAACCCAACATCTAACGGCTGGCACAGATGCATAGAGTTCGGGACAAGGCATATAAATTTGATGTTGTTTTCGTGGCAGGTTTTCAAAACATCCTCATCGAGATGAGCAGACAGGTTATCGCCGATTATTACTTTAGTGCCTTCCAATCTGTTTGCATGTGGTAAAAATGCTGATAAAAACCAGTCACGAAAGGTCGAACCATCGATCCATCCACTTTGAGTACGATTATAGCGCGAACCGCGGCTGCAGCAAGGTTCTGAACAACATGGTTTGCCCACTATGCCACGCTCTTTCCAGGTGTCATATAAATGTGTGCTCCTGTATATCACGTATGGAAGTAACAAAACACCATCGGCGCTCCCGCAAATCATTATCCTAGTACAACTTTTTGAAAAACTCATCACCCTCTCTGGATATTTCACGGCCCGTCTATAAATGCAGCGTTTCTTACCGGGGTCATCTGATAAATTAGACTCATCGTTATTAAAGATGTTGGAAGGTGGTATACCCTCAACTTCGGTCTTTAAATATTCAAAATACTCGTTTATCATGCCCAACTTTTGCCCTTGCTTTTTTTATATTTGAAGCAACTCTTTGGCTGAAATCATCTTTATGTCTCTTCAAAACGCTGAGAGCCCAATCGTGTCCTGGCAAATTATTAGAAATTTTTGTAATATTTTTGCCTTGTTTATCCAAATACGCTTTAGCAATCATGCGTAAGTCTAACGCCGTCAATGGAAAACCCCAGTCCGCACATGTCGCTGCTGCTCTTAGCAGAGCTTTTTCTTCAGCGTGGGTAAATACTGTTTGACCACCAACAGTTCTTGTGTGTAATCCCTTGTACCGGTGATACAGTGTGCCAAAAGTTATTTTATATTGTATTGAAGCGGCGTGAATAGACAAATCTCCATCTGTGACTTTTTAAGAGCTTCTTCAAAGTCACCTGCAGTATAATTTTTGTAAGCTCGCGTGCCGGGTGTCTTTTTGTAAGTCCGTACCATCTTGACATTTTATTCTGTGAACAATGTGGGCCGAGTGTGATAACCAAGCAATTTACATTCATTATACTTTTCACTGCTGCAGGGGGCTACTTTGATAACTATCAATGTCGACCCACCAAATTTATCAAAGTAACCCCGGGAATAAAATATGTTCCAACCTCAAAATGGCAGATAGTAGGACAAAGGTCAATTTATATTTATGTACCCATTGATACTAGAATTAAGATATATGAGCATCATCTTCCTGTTGTTCAGGGCTAGGTCTATCTGAAGTTTTCAGAGTCATGTATTCTTACCTTCAGAAAGGGTAATAATGAAATCCTTTTTTCTGCACTGAGGAGAGACGCACACGCACTTTCACCACATGACAAGATGGCGGGATTGTCAATGTTGCCAACACAAAAAAAAAATTGGGTGCGTTCCGTTTTAGTAAAGATATTACATAAAATCCAAATATTTTTTGTTATCATCAATTTCGCCCCGCCATTTGAAAGTCGCCCCATTCCACGGTACCTTAACCTCTACTAATAACAGGAGACTTCAATGCACACCACACTATGTAGGGCAGTGCAACTACAGATACTCGTGGTTCAGTATTACTAGATATTATAAACGACAACAATTTATTTCTTTTAAATGATGGCATAGTAACCACCGTTGGCTCTCATAATTGGAGATCAAATTTAGATTTAACAATAGTATTGCCCGATTTAGCTCTGAATTGTGATGATGACATGATGACTCATTATGTAGTTATCATTACCCTATTCTTACTACTATATTGTATGATCCTGTTAAGACAAATAATTATTTGTCTTAATTATACTAATAGTGTCAATTATACAAAACCTAATTATAAGACAGTTGACTAGACAAAATATAGAGAACTAACCGAGTCAAAATTAAACAATGCTTATTTCGACACAAGTGATACTGAGGGATGTTATGATTTATTATCAAAAATTTTGCAAACGAAGCAAATCTCTCCAAAAAACCACCTGTAGGAGGCATACAATCATTTCATAAACAAAAGAAAAGGTTAAAACTCCATTGGTGGAATAATGTCTGTGCTCAAGCAGTAATTAAATGTAAAATGTCTTACTTAGAATTTAAACGCAACCCTACTGAACAAAATCACATTATATTTAATCACAAGCAATAAAAATATATTATCAACATGGAATTGCAAAAATATATTAACAACAGGAAACCATCAACACGAAAGGCGAAAGGCATGGTCAGAGTTATGCAATTCTTTCAATCGTCAGACCCCTAGTCAATGACTTGGGCTAACATTAGAAAGTTTAATAAGGGTGGATTCGACCATACAAGAGTAAATCTTAATCTTAGAATAAATCGTCAGTTAATCGAGAGTAAATTAATTTTACGTTTTACCATCTACAATTCTAAGAATAGTGGGCCTATTCGGGAATTGTTACTATACCGCCGCTTTGCACGAGTTAAAGGAGCTATTCCTAGAATAATGTACACAAATTTCAATGAATTTCACAAATATATAATCTGTGTTTTCAAATCAACTCAACGAACTAAACTAATAGTCTGGCATTGTATAATGCAACGTTTAAACAATTTGATTGATGATAGTGATAGTGATGAGGAAATTATACCTAGACGTCCAAGATGGTTAAAAGAAAGAAAAGACTTATTTGAATATTATGATGAAAATGATTTTGCGATGAGGTTTCGTTTGAGCAAAGAAGCCGCTTTGTTTCTGCTATCGAAAATTGAACGTAACTTAGAATATATTTCCGACCGGTAAGTGTACATTCTTTTTACCTGTGCAGTTTTTTTGCGCCTGCCTGCCTACGTAGGTAGACTGGCAGCCTGTCTAGCCTGTCTATCCAGTATATGACTAGGTAGATGTTAAAATAATGATGATGACAGGATAGATTATTTAACATTATTATTCTTATAATAGCATGTAGCTACCTAAGTGCATTTTCTAGTATCTATGCCAAATTAATTAATTTAATGATAATTTTGTTCTATTGCAGCAACTTCTCCATTTTACCTTTAAATCAGTTGCTGGGAACTCTACGATTTTATGCAACCAATTCGACTCAAATGACCATTGGCGACACCTGTGGTTGGAGCACTCCTACTACAAATAAAATAATACACAGAGTCAGTGCCGCTATTGCTGCACTACATAGTGAATACATAAAGTTCCCCAGTACCCAACTAGAGATAAGAACAGAACAAGACAATTTTTATCACATTGCTCGATTTCCAAGGGTAATTGAGGTGCTATGGACTGCACGCACATTAAGTTGTCTTTTGTCCCTCTCTGATCTCAGGTAGGAGGTGAACAAGCAGAATTGTACCGAAACAGAAAGGGTTATTTTTCTAAAAATGTGCAGACCATATGCAACTCCAACCTAGAAATCACTGACATTGTGGCAAGATGGCCAGGGTCATGTCATGACAGCACAATATTCAACAATAGCATAATTAAGGTAAAGTTTGAAGATGGATGCTATGGTGATGCACTATTAGTAGTTGATGGTGGATATGCCTCAACGTCTTACATGATGTTTCCATTAGAAAGACCGAGAACACAGGCAAAGCAACTCTATAATGAGTCACAAATAAGAACCAGAAATCCTATTGAAAGGAGTTACGGTGTATGGAAAAGACGATTTCCTGTGCTGGCACTTGGGATGCGTGTCAAATTAGAAAAAACATTGGCAATTATAGTGGCCACAGCAGTTTTACACAATATTTTACGCCGTAGAGAAGAAACATTACCTCCAGATGACCCAGAACTGCATTTACCGGCTCCATGGGAGCAAATTTTAAGTGATGGTCAAATACCTCAAATTCAAAGCACTGAAAGTGAGCAAATACCTGACCGACTTCATAAAACTCGTGATGCTCTTATTGCCAATTATTATCAAAGTTTTAAATAAATAAGTTTTGTTGGTACATATTATAGTATTTTATTTATGATAGCTATTGTAGATCAAAGATTTTTTAAACGACACATCACACACATCATATTTCTACTCTACACCGCTACATAATCACACGTCTATCATAAAAACGAAAGTAACTGCCTGCTTTTCTAAGGTAGAACTGCACTTATGAACCTGCTTGAACTTCAAGAAAAAGAAGGTATCTTAGTCACAAGTGATATTCACTTACTTATACAGAATCTACTTTTGCTTACAGAAATAAAAATTGTAAATATTTTAAATTATTTATTTTGGGATTTCATTTTGTACTTTTTCTGCAAGCTAATAATCTTCTTCGCTTGATCAGTAACAAATTTGTTTTAATTTTTTCTTGTCTTAGTATTTGTTTTTTAATTTGAGTATCTAGCTCATGTAAAACCTTTGTTCTCTCCATTTCCTCCACTGCATGTTTTTTGTGTAGGTCTATGGCTTCTATCTTCTTTTTATGCAAAAGTTCTAAAGAAGAAGACGTATTTGTATGGATTGGCCTCCTCCTAAAAATCCAGGTTTCGTGATTTGGTTTATGCTTCTCAATCATGTTCGCTATATCGTCAGTCACAGGAGTATTTTTTTCCACAATACCATCAATTTTGAGTGCCTGGACACTGGAGTCCTTAACAATTGCGGCGTGTAATCTCCCCAATTCTAATAAAAAAATGTTAAAATAAATAAATAGTTTAAATAATATTGATATGTATAATTTATTTTTACAAATATTTTAAAAGTAGACTATATTTTATTAAAACAGTTTATGTAGATATCAATAATTTTACCTTTGTCACAAAATCTTTATTATTATGTTGTACTGTTGTTTCACTTATCTGGTCGTCTACAATCACCACAGTTGGAGGCAGTAAGATATCTGCAAAAATAAATTGTGATTAATAACTTAGCCTGGCAGCAGTAAATAGCACATTATTGTTTACAATTTTACTAATAAATATGTAATAATGCTGAAAATAAAAGTAAAAGCTTCTGTTTTTTCTTTGATACCCTGATGCTAGCACAATCATTGTCAACATGATGATGGATATAAAAGAAGCCTAGGATTACTTGTACTTCGTTTGTGTAATATACCTGTATACTATGATGACCTACTGCAAAAAAGCTTATGCTAACCTTTATATTGTGCTGCGAGTGGTTCTGGAAAATCCTCGGTCTCTAAAGAAGGTATTGCAGTTTCATCTTGCACTGCAGGAATAATAGAATCACTATCATAAGGGTTAAATAACCCAACAGCACTGGTGGATATTAGGCATAAGATCCGCTGAAGAAAGGGATCTTCTTTCTTAGGAGGTAAAGGGGATCCACCTCCTGAAATGAAAAAAAAAAGTTAATTCTTAAAAGTTAACATCAGATATCTTTGAATTTGAGAGAGCTTTCATCATCAGCTGATGAAATCTCTCTTGGGAAACTTTATTTCCATAAACACTATGTCATGTGGTGTTTTTCAGTAGCACATTAACAACAATACAACAAACGCATTTAGGATATAAGTTACCTACTATTTTACACATATTTTTGGATAATAGGTACCTATAATATTAATAGTAGTACCTATAATATTATACTAACCTGTTCGAATCATATGTCTCCTATTATTTGCTGCATCTTTTCTAGCTACCTTTTTCATACTCTCCCACTGAGCTTTTAGATTTTCTGCTTTACGAAAGCAGTGGCTTGTTCGACTATTGTACTGGTCTGCAATAATTTGCCACTGAGCTAATTTTGATTTTATAGTCACTCGATCAGTTTTTTTATTTTCTATAATATTAAAATGAAATTCAACTAGGCTTAACAAAAGTTCCTTTTCAGACGACAGCCAATTAGGACTGCGTTTACGCTTATCCTCACTCATTTTCACTTGCGAACGAAAACAGATAAAACCACACGACAAAACTATATAATTCCTCAAACAAACAACAAATAAAATTATCACGTTTGACAGCTAGCTAGCTTACTCTACAGCTACTTGTTCACACTATAATACGGCAAAATCGAGTTGACATTAAAGTATGCTCTTACACTATCCCGTTGTAGAACAACATTTATTTGCCGGGTTTTATTTACGTTCACCATTCACTCTGCTATTCGCGTATTGTTATTCCTAGCGCAAGTATACTATCGATTACGTGGAGAAACGACTATGGATTTACCCGAGATTAAAATCATGGAATAGTTTATTCCTGGTATTGTTACTCGTGTATAAATTTAAGTTTGGTCGAGTCCACCCTAAGTCATATAGAGCTCCTATATACTCAAACACAAACAATTGGATTCACTCATTTTTAAATAAGTATACTTCAAATTCACAATCCCCTCCATAACATTGTTATCATAATGCTAATATTGATCAGTTTTTCACTAAACTATTTACTTTAACTGAATTATTAGGTGCTATAGATTCACGCAAAGACACTGCTTGTGATTTAGACTGTATTTCACACAAAATGTTAAAAAATCTTAGCCTATCAAGTCATGAAATAGTTCTGGATATTTATAACTTATTATGGGATAAACTAATAATTCCTAAGTCATGGAAAGTTGATTGCCTTGTGCCTATTCTTAAACCAGGTAAAGATAAAAGTCACCATGATTCTTACAGACTTATTGCTTTAACATCTTGTGCAGCAAAATTATTTAAACAATTAATAAAACAAAGGCTGGAATTTTTTATAGAACACAATTTATTGCCTTTTAATCAATGTGGCTTCAGGAGAGGTCGCTCAGTATTGGAGAGTTTGAACCAATTGTATTTGGACATACACAATGCTTTCTCTGATAGTAATTTCTTGGTGTGTATTTTCTTTGATATAATGGGTGCCTTCAACAATGTAAATCATAACATCCTTGCAGAGGAGCTATTTTCACTTGGATTATCTGAAGAAAATATAAAATGGGTATTAAATTTCCTATACAATAGAGATGTTTATGTAAAATTTCATAATAACTTATTTGGGCATCAAACATCTAATAGAGGAGTTTGTCAAGGTGGGATACTAAGTCCGTTGCTGTTCATTTTATACATCCATAAAGTAATCTAATAATATATTAGGAAATGATGTTAATAATTTGTAATACGCAGATGATCTCACAGTCTACTGTGCTGGCACTAATATATCTGAGGTTGAGCAGAAACTGAACTGTGCCATGTCAAAATTAAAAACATATTTCACATATCTAGAATTAGATGTAAATTTAAATAAGACGAATGTTATAGTTTTTAGTAAAAAGAAATTGCTACTTACCAATATCCATATATGATGGCAATATTCTACCTGTTAGTTCTGAGGAAAAAATTCTGGGAGTCAATTTTACCAGGAATCTTTCATGGAACAAGCATGTTTGTGGTTTAACGGACAAAGCACTGCGAGCTTTCAACATATTAAAGTCACTAGCTGGTACATACTGCGGACCTGATCCAAAAATTTTACTGATGTTGTACAAATCCATTGTTCGCTCCCACTTTGAATACAGTTTTTTTTTTGTTATTTTGCTGATTTAGTCTTGTCAATAAACTAGAAAATTTTTAAAATAAAAATCTTAGGTTAATCACAGGAGCAATGAATACTACACCAATTGTATCAATGCAAGTAGAAACTAACATTCCACCACTAAAATTAAGGTTTCAATATCATGTTGTAAATATCCATATATTCTTCATAATTTTCATGAAACATCAGTATATATAATAGAAAATAACATTAAATCACTGAGATAAACCCAGTGATTCCTGGTTCCTATGAGAGTAAATTTCTTCTACTTGATAAGTATATAGAAAATGACTTGCGTACAAAAGAAGAAGTATATGAAAAGCTATCGGATTAGCCAGATTCTGAAATGATTTATACAGATGCTTCAAAATGCGACACTGCAGTGTCAGCTGCATATTACCACAAAAATATAAAATATGGCAAAAGTTACCGCTTGCTAACAATTTTTAGCGTGTTTTCGGTTGCAGACACCGCTATTTTATTGGCCCTCAAATACATTCAAACTGAAGTTATGTGCTCTGTTAAAAATCAGTTTCTAATAATTTCAGACAGTTTGTCTGTTCTTAAGGCACTTGCTTCTCCTGGCATACTAAATATTAACTGTATATTATTCGAAATAAAGGAAACATTGCAAAAACTATCTGACTACAATAAACTTGTGAAATTTTTATGGACGCAAGCACATATCGGTGTGACAGGAAACAAAAATGTGGATTACCTTGCCAGATTAACACGTTTCTGGGTGGTAATATTAAAAATCTTTCTAGACCTTGGCAAGACCTGCTACCGGGGTATCGAGAAAAGATGTGCAAAGAATGGATGGAGGAAAGAAATATTATCGTAGAAACAAAAGGAGCCGGGTATGCGGGTATTAATAAAGAAGTGGGCCGAAAACCCTGGTTTGCTGCATCGGATGGTTATCTGCAAAGGAAATTCTACACTCAGATATAGGCTAAGATTTGGTCATTGTAGATTTAAATCGCATTTGCACCGCATGCGGATGATAACGTCACCAGTATGCACTTAATGCACATCACAAGAAGATCAAACACTGGACCATATCTTCTTTACTTGTCCAGCTTTCAACATTCAGTGACTAATTCTAATAGATCGACTTTTGACCAATTCACTGACCATCCCAACTTCGCTACAGGACATCTTAGCAATCCCAGAAACCAGAAAACAAAAAAAAAATATACAAGATATTTGTGTAAGCAATGTAATGTCCATTTGTTTATAGAGCCTTGCAGTCAAGAATTCCACAGAAAAACTCGTGTGAACTTTAAACATAATTAAATAAAACTTATGATTCAAATTAATAACGTGTTTTATTAAAAATTATTAAGTTTTAGTCACTTCTGACTACTTCTGACGGTTTCTGTTACTTCTATTTCTTGAGTTTGATAATTTTTAATGTATTTAAAAAAAATCTAAATTTTCACATAAGCCCAGCTTGTATTAGATGTGTGAAATGCTCATTTCTTTGATCATCTTTAAACGTTGCACAGTTCTCACATTGTGGCCTTACATTTGGTGCACCACTGCTACTTGTCGACGTCAAATTTTTCATAACCCTTGAGGCTAACTCTGCATTTCGAGACTGCCTTTCAAATGAATCCGTAAGTATGTTCATAACTTTGCATTCTCGAACGTTTGAGAACTGTAAAATTAATCGGGTTTAAACGTGGTGGAAGAAACAACAAAATTTCTACTATCTTCTTCGAATTATCTCTACCACACTTACTATAAATTAAAATAAGCCAACGAAGCTAACCATTTACGTTGCATTAAACCTAATCACGTACGATATATTTATATACATAATGAAAAGAAATACAAACCTGATGCGATGATTTTCCATTTTTTTACACTAAGAGAGCAACGACTACCCTCTGCTTAATACTTCAGTTGCTATTAAAATTATTGCAACTGAATGCCGATTCATCGAACATCAATCAAGGGATTATATTTTTATGTGGTTTTAACAGAAAAACTTTTTTATTGACAACATGTTATAATAATTAAATGATTTCAAGAAAGGTAAATGATAGACTTTTTGCTTAGAAAATGGAAATCACATCCAAACTTTAGACTCGATTATACCAAGCAGAGAAATTATACTAATAAATTAATAAATCGGGCTCGAAATGAAAAACAAAAAAAAGAGTTTAGTTTATTGTAATGGTGATATACGTAGATTTTGGGGTACTATTAATAATTGGTTGGGGCGATAAAAACAAGGGGTTGACGGTGTGATTGAGAAGTTCATGTTAAATCATATAGCATGGAAAACATTTGTGAAAAATTTCGCGATATGTACACTAGAGAGATGAGAACATCAAAAGTCAACACCAATGAAAGGGCTACATATGTAACTTTAAGTAATGTTAGTTTTAGGTTTCGGAGAGTAACAGCTGATCAGGTATCCATAGTCATGGATACTATGGATTGCAGTAAGACACCGGGATCGGATGGTATTAGAATAAGAGATTTGCATATTTTATAAATCAGTGTATCACCGATGGCACTGATCCTTATGAAATAAAAAAACTGGCAATTATCAGACCGATATACAAGCAAGGTTCCCACTCAGAATTCACAAATTATAGGCCGAAAGCGATTTTGAATATAATTACTAAAATTCTTGAAAAATTGAGTAAATCAAATAACAGTTTCATGGAACAAAATAGGATTTTTAACGATGCCCAACACGGTTTTCGTCCTAGGAGGAGGAGGAGTACCGCTACAGTGCTATCTCAATCTGTAGACAGTGTAAATAATTCTCTTAACGAAAAAAAATTGAAATTGCAATATTTATCGACTTCAAAAAGGCTTTTGATACGCTTGATCACGATGGCTTACTGCAGTCCATGGAAGAGTGTGGCATTAAGGGACCAGTGAATAAGTGGTTCAAGGAATATCTGTCGTATAGACAGCTCAAAGTTCGTGTATGTGGGGCTGAAAGTAAGAGCGGAAACATTAGATCTGGAGTTCCAACTGGTTCAATATATGGTCCTGTCGGG